GCAAAGGCCCAAAGCAAGCAACCGCATAGCAAATCAAAGGCCGTCACCCGCCACTGCAAACCACAGCACACTGGGACTCTACCGGTTCATCATGTACCATGTCCACGTCAGCATGCACAGGCTCGGCCCAGGGATACCTGGCGGCCCAGGCAATCTGCCATCTGTGGGGATTCCCTTTCTGCTTGTCCCGCCATGCACCGTCGCTCATGCCCTTGCGGATGCGCTGTGTCTGAGCCCGCTTGGCACTGCGAGCGCTCGGGTTGGGCGCCTCGCCGCATTCGTTGTTGTCAAGCTGATTGGGTGACAGCTTGCGCTTATGCTGATCGCAACCGCCATGGTAATGGCGCCCGTGTCATCGGTCGCCGCTGGCAGCAACATTGCCGATGCATTACCGACAACAGCACCGCCGTCCCAAACGCCTTTATCAGGAAAATTTTCAGACTTATCTTGCTGTTTTTGTGTTTGTTCGGCGTTCAAGTCGTTGCCTTTTGCGTGTTTGGCTATGGAAGGACCGGTCATACATTCTGCTATGCCGCGTTGACTCACGGGCTTGACCTTCTTACGGCCCCTCATATCTATTTTATGATCGATAATACTAAGTTCTGCACACTACGGAGCAATCTGGCAGCAATGGACGTTTTTGGCTGAAGGAATGAAAATGTACGGATCGGCCTCACTTTGTTCCTTATTTCCAAAGGCCAAAATGACCTCTTTATTCCTTAAAAGGAATATATTACTTAAAAAAAAACACTGCATACCACCCACAATATGTGCAGGGTGGTCCATCATACATGCTCGGATGCCTATTGGAAGCGCCTCCGTTGTTGATGTTGTTACAGGGTGGTTAAGCTTCACCAGTGGCCTCCTTCCCGAGGCAATTCCCTGCTCTCCCCTGCTAGAGGTGCACCCTAAGCCATTCACCCCATCCGACTTCAGAGTGTACTCTTTGAGTTTGGCAACTCACCACCAGCATCCAACCAAATCTAGCGGATCAACGGCGCCTCAACTTGATCAGCTCGCGATATGATTTTATCACGTCCTACACCGTCCACAAGATGAATCACCATCTCTCAAACACCCGGGAGGTCGGCAGGCGGATTTGAACCCGGGTCGACCGGGAGCAGAGGTCAGGTCTTAACCTTTGCCAGCCGCCTGCCGCCTGCTGTTGTTGGTGTTGTTGCCACCACCACCATGGTTTTGCTGCTGTTGCTGATCAGTGGGATCCATTGCTCATGCCGTTTTACGGCAGGAGATAACCGATGCCCTGACCAACCCGGAATGGGAGGGTTGGGGAATCTCAATGTTACGACTGTTTTCTTTCTTGGAGTGCAACATTTGGAGCGGAATACCGCAAGAAGTCGTGGGGGTAAAGGAGCGTGTTGACTGGTTGTTGAGTAGACTTCTACCAGAAGGAGCGATAATAACGGCACTAAGAGAGCGTTTGATGAGTGGCTGGGACCATACGCGTCTGACTGTCTTGCCAGAGGAGTACCCATCAGATGGGAAGCAACCGGGAGTGCAAATGGCGAAGTATAAGCACTGGATGGGGCTGCCCTTTTCGGGAGCCGCAGCCGTCATGTGGCCAACACATGCTAAGGTTTTCATTCCTCGTTTAGCACATCGTAAGCTAATGCAGTTTCGTTTATGTTGCTGGGCTTTGGAGGCAAACAGAGCACGAAGGGGCAAGCACCATGTCCCCAGGGGGCAGCGGTTTTGCCACTGTTGTGGTACTAATAGCCGAATTGAGGATGAAAAACACGTGTTATTGGAATGCCCAGCCTATAATGATATTCGTGCTGAAGAGGGATTCGATCATCAACAGAGTATGTTGGAGGCCATGCAATGGGAACCTGGGCAGGATGTTGGAACGTATGTGGGCTCACCGAAACTCAATTACCCCCTTTGGACGCTAGTCTGGGCTGATGTGCGGTGTTTTTCCTTTTCTCCGTGGCTTTTAGGCGTTGTAGTATTGCCCTTGGGCCTTCGGCTCGTATGGGTAGTCTTACAGGTATGGGGTCACGCACCCCCAACCATGTAACACACACACTCACATACTTGGTGGTGGGGGCCTGCTGCTCGGACGTGGAGACCATGGCAGCACGACTCATGCCTAATGTGGTCTGTACTGCTGCGGTGATCATTGCTGCCAGTTCATGAGGTTGATAGGAACCTGAAGCTGCAGCACTCTTACCGCTTCCTGCTTTGCGGCCGTTTAGAACCCGGCAATCCTTGCTGTCGTGGGAGTTGTTGGCGCCATGGTGCTTGCAGTAGAACTTGGACTGGCCAGAGCCACTGCCACTGCTTTTGCTTGGCTGCTTGCACAGCCATTCCTCCTTCTCGCTCATAATAGCTTGCTTAGACCCGGCGGCGTGGTCACTGCTGGCATGGCACTCCTGCTCAGCCTGGGCTTGCTGCAGGTTGGTCCAGATTGTTTCAGCATCCGCCGTGATGCTGAGTTGAGCATACCACCCCTGAACCATGCATGAGCATCCTTAACTAACGTGCATAGTTGCTGCTTGTGCCAAATGTCGTACATAGTACCTGGTGTGGGAAATGTGTTGATCAGGTTGAGAGCTTCATCAACAGGCACCTGTCTTTGTTGAGTCGGAAGTGTGCATGCAGAGTTTGCATTGCACACAACGCCCCCCTCTTGAAGGCAGGTAACTCTTCGTGATGGAAACGGACATGGTGGGTCTGGACCGTGAAGAGTCTGTGTTCTCCATTTCGGTATCACTGCACCAAGGGCTGATAGAGGGTGAAGACCCGGACTCTCCTGAGAGCTTGCTCGGGAGTGGAAACTGCTGAGGTACCGAAGTGACTGCTGAAGAAGCCTGGCTGTGTGGCCGAAAAGTCGGACCAAGCTGTGAATCAGGTGAGTGGCTGGCAGCATGTTCACTCTCTGCTACTTTGGCTGCATCAACGTGCTCCAGATCAATGCTGCTGCCTGTGTTTTCGATGCGTGCTTCTGATGTAAGACTATTGCATGACCCTGATGCAGTACTGGAGTACTCAGGGTTCTCAAACACTGCACCTCCTGCTCCGGCTCGTGCTGTTCAGGGATGGGTTCGAGTCCTGGGTGAGGCTGCTGCTGCTGCTGCTCAGGGAAGGGTGGCCCCTCCTGCACTCCTTCTTGCTGCTTCATGTGACCTTTCCTAGGGCACACTGATGCAGTCGAATGCTCAATGGACCCAATGGGCCAAGCTGAGTAAGGGGGATTGACGTGCCGTAGAGAATCTGCTTGAGCTCACAAGATAATGAGACTCTTACAGCAATGTCCGGGAACGCTGCCTCATTGCTGAGTCTGTAATGGCCGGAGCCCATGTGCACATACAATGGTCCTGGGGCACACACCAATGCTCAGAGCGCTTGATGGCTGAGTACGGCAAAGTGTAATAGTTCTTCAACAGCTGGGGCCCAGCACACAGACCCAACAGAGCCACCGCCAGCTAGTTCAACAGTTGCAAAAGAAAAAAATAGGACGCGCAATGGAGAGTTATTCGATGTGCCTCGGAAGGCTGCAGCCCAGCCTCACCAGCTGGTGAGCGGTGCCAGCTTAGGGTGCATTTCCAGTGCGGATTAAGGCCAGGGATTAACCCTCTGTCCTCCATCGATACCTGCTCAAACGGCTAAGTTGTTGGCAACCTTACCTCGCCTTTTCAACCTTTGGTTCCCTTATGGAACAAAATTATGTGGTAAGCTCGTACCAAGGACTTCCGTGCCCTAATCCCTGGCCTTAATCCGCACTGGAAATGCACCCTTAGTGAGCTATGGTGAGGTCCCCGTGCACGTGAGAGTCATGGAACGGGGACCCCAAAACGAACGGGGAACGTAAACCCTCCCCGTCAAAATCACAACAATTTGCAATTTTGTTTGGTACTTTTTCAGCAGCTCCAAAACATTCTGATGCTGTAAAAGCTGCAAGCTTATTAGGTGTAATGATGAACGACGGTTCAAAATGTACTCCCCGAACCGTTCCTTCTCTGTAATCCATACCCCTGTGCTGTCCTCCAGTGTAAAGAAATGTTATTCAAGTATACTGGGCCGTAGTTGTGCTGTCATGTATAGCGGTATCAACAATTACTTGCCCGTAGCCCAGAAGCCATCGAAAACAAAACCTTCCCTTAAGAAGACAGAAATAGTAGCAAAGGCACATAAAGAAACTGCGGAAAACGCCGCCACCAAAGAACATGTGCCCTTGCTCCACATGCAGCCTGATCATGACGAAAGTCCCCTAAAAGAGTATTTCTATACTAATCGTATACATGATGATGTGAATGCCGTGGGTGAGGAGGATGCATCATCGGGTGAGGGTTCGGACATTGATGAGGATGATGGGCCTGACGGTGCGAACTCCCGCCAGCTAGTGACGGAGGTATAACTTAAGTTCGTCCACAAAACCGTCGCATCATCGGGGCGCTAGGGTGCCTGACAGCTGCACGGGTGGGGTCTGGTGACACTCGGGTGCTGGAACCTGGGTTGGGCGATGTCGGAATCTGGACGCGCGCTTGATGCCGTGGCCTTGTGAGGGTATTTGGGGGCTGTCTGCAAAAAATCAGCCCGAACGGTTGCACTCCAATTGCATTCATGATTGCCGTACTCAACCTCAGGTCTGATCCCTGGCCAGGCCATGCGGTCAGTCAAGGTCATGCTTTCCCCAACCATGCTGTTTGAAATGTTCACAGCTTCTTGTAAATAAACAGGCAATTCACCAGGGAGATGTACCTGTGGCATATCAACACTCATTTCATGCACACACACAGCACATCATCCAGTATGCACCCATTCAGTATCCCGTCACTCTCCCCAAACAGGAAGTCCTAGATTAATCCTCACTTCACTTGGTCTGATTCCTGCTAGACCCCCCACACTGTCTCTGTAGCAAAGCCGCGAGCTTGGCGCCCCTTCCCAGGTGTTGGCTCCGGCCGCCCCTGTTCCCCCGCTGGCCACCCCCTGTTGCTTGCTCGCCCCCCTTGGTTGGCTGCTTGCCGCCCCTGGTGGGCTCAGATGCTGAACTGCTTCCGGCAGGTTACGCAGTAGTGAACGGGAACCTCCAATTCAATAGGCTGGTCCCATGTCACCATGGTGACCGGACAAGACAGTGGTTCTGTGTTACTGTCTCCCTTAACTGGTTCTGGTGGCTGTGGATTGGCTAACCTGATGGTGCTGAACGGCGTGGTTTGGACGATTTTTGTCGAGAATTGCACCTCTGCCTCGGGCCTTACACAGCATTCTGCCTTCACACAGAAGAGCATACAGCCTTGTCCAAATAGTCAGCATGACAGGCTGTACTCGAAGCCTTACCATTTCAAGTTCCGACCTACAACTGTTCAAGTTTTCTTCGTTTTCTGATTTCAATTCCTTCCAATGTCAACTATTAACGACAATGCGCCATCGACCGAGAATGACGCGACTGTTCCAGGTGGGGCTGGTGGGAGTTTAGGCGCCATTGGATCCTCCCCGCCGGCCGGCACCGCCAAAACGGTTTTAGAAACGGTGGTGATGAATGCCATAGAAAAGGTATCCGAGAAGCGCCGCCGGGACGATCAGGCTGCTCTAGAGCAGGCTGATGACATCCGTGCGGACTTCATGGCCAATGAGCAGAAGGCGCCAAGGGACGTGATTGGCCATCGTCTGCAAGCCTTCACAGGCTTCCACCTTGGCCTACAACTCATCCTCCACCGCCATGCCGCCATGACTACCAGATGTGGAGGCACTCACCGTCCGCAAGGCCCAGTCTTTCTGCTTCCGCATGAGGGCTTCCGCTTTCTCACCTTTGGGGATCCTTGTGCCAATGATATTGTTAAAGCAGTGGTCTGCGGCTGTCAGACCTACACGGAGCTCCGAAGCGAGCTGGTGTGTGGCCTCGATGCCGATCTGGGCACGAAGCTGAAGCTGGTCGGTCCACTCGGCGGCCTTCACGTAGCAGCAAGCATCGAGGTAGCTGCGGATGAGTTGTAGGCCAAGGTGGAAGCCTGTGAAGGCTTGCAGACGATGGCCAATCCCTTGGCGCCTTCTGCTCATTGGCCATGAAGTCCGCACTGATGTCATCAGCCTGCTCTAGAGCAGCCTGATCGTCCCGGCGGCGCTTCTCGGATACCTTTTCTATGGCATTCATCACCACCGTTTCTAAAACCGCGGCGCCGGTTTTGGCGGTGCCGGCCGGCGGGGAGGATCCAATGGCGCCTAAACTCCCACCAGCCCCACCTGGAACAGTGGCGACATTCTCGGTCGATGGCGCATTGTCGTTAATAGTTGACATTGGAAGGAATTGAAATCGGAAAACGTAGAAAACTTGAACAGTTGTAGGTCGGAACTTGAAATGGTAAGGCTTCAAGTACAGCCTGTCACGCTGACTATTTGGACAAGGCTGTATGCTCTTCTGTGTGAAGGCAGAATGACTTCACCAGGAGAGCAGCAAGGTTTAAGTCGCCACTGCGACCCAGTTGTACGACAGTACCACAGAACCAGCCTTAGAGGCTCCGGTCGCTTCGCTCCGTCGCATCTAAGCCAACAATTTGCCGGAGCTCTCAGCCCGGCACGTAGGGCAGGTACTGATGTCCGCTGCGGCGACTGCATTCCTGAACGTGAACCCCGCCTGATGAAGCAGATTCTTACGTGATGTAACGGTTTTGTGGACGAACAGTATACCTCTGCCACTAGCTGGCGGGAGTTCGCGTCCTCACTGAGGATGATGGGCCTGGCAGGCCCATCATCCTCATCGGTGTCCGAACCCTCACCCGATGGTGCATCCTCCTCACCCACGGCATTCACATCATCATGTATACGATTAGTATAGGAATACTCTTATACGTGACCTTCATCTTGATCATGCTGCATGTGGAGCAAGGGCACATGTTCTTTGGTGGCGGCGTTTTCCGCAGTTTCTTTATGTGCCTTCGCTACTATTCGCTACTATTTCGGAGTGCATAGCTCGGAAACACCTATCTGTTTCCCAGGAAACAGCGTCGTTTCCAGGGAAATGCCCTTTCTAAGGAAAAGCCCTCGTAGTACGGAAAACTCTTTTCACATCAAATTTGAAGCCAACAATTATTGGAAACTGCTTTCCGAGCATCTCCTATTGACTTAGTATCCATGGAATACCCAATCTGTAAGGTTTTGCAGTTCGTTAGCGCGCGCTTCTGAGACCATGTCGTATGGCTGTGTGAGGTTATGGCGCGCTAATATGACTATTTAAGCGGACCATTTCATGAACATTGTAAGTCTAAGTTGAAATTGAAAGCCCGATCTTCTGTGCTTACGCAAGTATATCGGCCAGTAAAGTCAGCTTGCACTTCCCAGTTGTTAGGAGCGGCCTGGTTCCCTTTCAATTGGTATCAGAGCCTAGGTGATCCTCCTGGGTGGTGGAGCGAATGTGACGCGACTGGGTGAGGGGGGATGTTTCGCTGGGTTAGGCATGGGGCCAAAGTAACCTACTGTAACGAACGCGTTTTGGGTTTCTCGTCCCGGTTCTTGGTCTGGCTAGCTGCTCAGCCCGGATTCAAAATCTTATTTTAGGCGTAGCCGAAAATTTGGTTTAAAGAGGGGCGTCAGAGCGGCGTCGTACGGTGCAGTTAGTTGGTTGTTATTTTGAACTGCTATTTGATCGGTGGGGTTTAGTCTTGTCGAATTATCTTCCGGGCGATCTCGGACTCAGCTGCTGGTTGATACGAGCTCTCTTTACCAGAACAGCTGCTAGCTGCCGCTGTTATTGTCCGTTGGTCAGCGGTGTGAATTTGACGACCTTTCTTATCGCCAAATCGTTATTTTCGTTATTTTCTCGCGCATCTTGGAGGGCGGTGGATTAGGAGGCCCTTGGTTACCTCCTGACGACTCATTGTCTGCCATCGCTGGATGTTACAGACCAGAAGCTATAAAAGTATTATGAAAAGTGTCCCCCCTGGATCTCACTGCAACCCCCTGCACAGCCCCATGGAACCCTCTTAACGACGCTGCCACCAGCGCTTCACTGTGCCCAACGCCTGGAACGTGGGCAGGGGTACGGACTTCTTCGCCCTGATAGCGACCGAGTGATCGACCCATGGGAGTAGATCGTATAAAGTATTCGGGATCGAGTGTTCGACAGACGGCTGTGCGTAACACAGTATCGATTGTAAAAGTGACCGAATACGAAAGCAAATCGACCCAGTAGAGAATGGCCCGAAATTGCTGAATAGTAGGGCAGCTGTGCGTAACACTGCTAACAGGTGTGGCTGGCGTGACCTAGCCTACCTAACCTACCAAAAAGGGTGCTGGGAAAAGCAACCCGAATATCCCCTAGGCGACAGAACACCTAAGGTGAACCAAAACCGAACTTACTTGGTCTTCTAGCCTGATTTAGGCTTTACGGCTATGGAATGCAGGGTGGTCTAGGCGAAGTCCTGCAGGTAGCTGGAATGCTGACTAGACGGCACACGAGCGGGCAAGTCGTAATACGCAGCAAATAGCAACCCGCGAAAGGGGCCAAGATTCCCTCCAGGCAACAAATCAACAGTGATAAAGATTTACCTTACCGACTGAGTATGCCCGGCGTGAAGGATATGGGCGTTGAGTGGCCCACACAGGAGTTCGGCTGGTGGAAGGAAGTTACTTATGCGGCTTAAGAAAAGGGAGGTCCGCACAGGGCTTGTTGTCTAGCTCAGAGAACTTTACAATGTTCCAATCATGAGCCGTAAAGCGACTTTTCCAAGCTCGCTGCCGGCTATAAATACCGAAGTCTCACTGTCGATCACAGGAGGCCCTCAAAAGATAAGCCTCGAGTACGACCACGACGTATAGTCCACAAATGACACAAGTGAAACACCTTATAACCCGTGTGACAGAACATTCACACAAGAAATAAACAATTCACAAGTAAAGTACATAAACGTACGCAAACGAGCGTACATTCTCGTCTCGTCCATAAGTCCATCAGCGAAGTGTAAGATGATAACCAAACACCTTACGCGTTTATACACGATATTCGCGTATTCACACCGATTATAACCTAAGACGATTATAAAAGACGGTAAAATGAACGTGACGCTAAAATGTCGTGACAGCTGTCGCGTCACATGACTGTAGCACCGAACAAAACACGTGCGTACGGCAGACTCCCCCCCCCAGCGGGCGAAGCCGAGATGGTGAATGCCCGTGGAAAGCTCCATGTACGCACCTTCAAAGTAAGTGCTCAGCTAAGCTGCCATCCTTCAAAATGACATGCTTGATAGCCGGACTCGTGAACACAATCAGCCAGATAAAAGACTGGTACTCAGACTCAACGGAAGGACAACTCAACATCAACAAACGATCCTCATCCTGCAGACTGCGCAACCACTTCATGCGCGCTTCATCAGCACCCGATATGTGATCAACCAGAACTCTAGCGACCACAAAGCCCTTAACAGACTTAACTGTTGACTTCCGGCCAGAACACTAACGGCTGTACGACAGATAAGATGGAATGTTTGGTATAAAGGAGATGATGTTCTGACTGAAAGCTTGTTCTGTGATACCTGTAACGGTTAAGGTTGGCTTTACCTACACAGTTCCACTCGCCTATATCTTAACAGGTTATGAGCCCCGCGCCGCCGCGGCAAGCGAGCGAGCGTTTTGCTTAAGTACTGTGTCCGAACTTGCTGGCTTAGCAACTCTCTGGCTTAGAGATAGGACAAGTATGGGGAAGGATAATGATGTAGAGCGATTAGATAGCTACGCCAACTATTTTCGCTGGCGGACGGCCATGAAGTACTGTTTGGCCGGCAAGGACTTGTGGGACGAGGCAGCAGACCTGCCGAGCGCCGTCGCCGACAAGTCCATGAAGGCAAAATCGCAGCTGGTGAAATATACGGTGCCCCGTTTTCACAGGCTGATCGATCAAGCAGCCGACTCTGCCGCAGCGTGGGATGCGATCCGCGCCGAATGCGTGTCTGAGATCGGAGCGAACATTTTGTTCATAAAGCAGAAATTTAGCAACCTGAAGCAACGGACAGGCCAGTCCGTTGTTGATTACTTCGAGGAAGCAGAGGATCTGCGCGAGCAAATGGTTGCAGTGGGCTCGAAGACCGACGACTGCCAATTCGCCCTGGCTATCTTGGGTGGTTTGCATAAGAAATTCCAAATGCAGCAGACGCTTTTTGCTGCCAAGCCGCCAAGCGACATGAAGCTTTCGGAAATCAAGGCCGCTCTACTCCTGGCGGAGCGGATGCAAGGTGACAACAACGCAGAGTGGGCCCAGGCCGAGGCCCTGGCGTTTAGCAGCCGGAGCAGTGGGGTAGGCCACCGTGGCTTCGGTGGCGACTACCGTGGTGGAGCTGGTAAAGGCCAGGGAAATGTCAACGTCAGGGCGAGTACCAGCTCTGGCGGGCCTGATGTTTCCATCAACCCCTACGCAACCCATAAGTGCCATAAATGTGGTGTCCTGGGGCATATCAAGTCTCAGTGCCCGCTCGTCACAAGAGGCAACAACAGGGGCAACAACCGACGCAGCAAGCAGCTGGTAATGGCCCTAACCACCTCCACCACCTCCGAAGCCAAGGAAATCCAGGCAACAGCTGAGAAGTCGCTCGCCAAGCTGGCTTGGAAAGTGGACTCGGCCGCGGCCGTCCATGTTACGGACGACCGGTCGGACTTCAGCGAGTACGTACCGCTCACGGACGGCATAGTCCTAGAAGGTGTGGCGGGTGCGATTTGCAAGACGGTTGGAGTGGGTACCGTCCTGCTAGAAGCAGAGGGAGACAATGGCAAGATTAAGATTACCCTAAAGAATGTGTATCATGCGCCGGGATTAGGTCACAAGCTGATTTCGGTAGGCGAACTAGGTCTGAAGGGTTACCACGTGGATTTTCGTGGGCCGGTTGCTGTGATTAGGCGGCCGAAACGTCTTGTCAGCCTAGGCCCGCGGATAAGGAAATACGCAAGCCTGGAGTGGGAGTACGGGGAGCAAATCCCGTGTGTGCGGGTGGGCACCCATTACTACCTAAAGGCGACCCGTTTGGGCCAGGGGGAGTGTGTTCAAACCCTGGCGGTCTTGTCTGAATCTG